AACAAGTAATATTATTTGAATAAGAAAGTTTAGCAGAGTTGTGGGACATGTTCAGTGTATGTCAATTGTATTTTTCAATTCCTTTTACATGAAACAGTAAATATGATGCCTAGGAATACATCTAACAAAATATGTAAAGACTTTTAGAGAACAAATTTACAAAATTTTATTGAAAGAAATTAAAGACCTAAATAAATGAAGAGATACACTATATTCATGGATGGATGACCTTTAATCATAATACCAAAATTTTTAAAATCTCAAAAATCTTCCAATTGATTTACAAATTCAGTGTATTTTTCAACAAAATTCTACAGGTTTTTAATGGAAATTAAGCTATTTTTAAAAATTATTCAGAAGATGGAGTACAGCCTTTAAAAACTGTGAATCACTAGATTGTATTTCTGAAACTTATATAATATTATAAATCAACTATACCTCAATAAAAAAAAAAAATACAGAGGAGTGAAAACCAAGAATAACAGCCAAGACACCCCTGAGGAACAAGGTGGAGAAACACTATCAAATGTCAAGATTTGGGCTTCCCTGGTGGCGCAGTGGTTAGGAGTCCGCCTGCCGACGCAGGGGACACGGGTTTGTGCCCCGGTCCGGGAAGATCCCACATGCCGCGGAGTGGCTAGGCCCGTGAGCCATGGCCGCTGGGCCTGTGCGTCCAGAGCCTGTGCTCCGCAACGGGAGAGGCCGCAACAGTGAGAGGCCCGCGTACCACAAAAAAAAAAGTGTCAAGATTTATTTAAAAGATGCAGTAATTAAGGCATTGGTTATTAGCACAGACACAAATGGTAGAGTGTTAGAAATCCCTGAAACAGTCCCAGACATGTATGGAATGTGGTATATAACAGGTAGCATTGTAGATTGGTTGGGAGAGGATGAACTAACTGTTCAGTAAAAGGTGTTAAGTCAACTGGTGATCCATTTAGAGGAAAAAGAAAAATGAGTTTGGATCCCTATCTCACATCTTGCACAAAGAAATCAATTTTAAACAAAGACCTAATTGCAAAAAGCAAAACAATAAAACTCTTATAAAAAAAAAGTGGAAGAATATCTTTATGACTTAAAGGTAGGGTTTCCTCATCAAGATTCAAAGGATTTCCTCATCAAGATACAAAGAAGTGCAAACTATATATAAAGGAAACATTTAAGTTAAGAATGTCAGTTGATCAAAAGACACAAAAAAGTGCGAAGAGAAGCTCAGACAGGGAGCAATACATAGAACCTACAAAGGATTTGTAACTTTCAAGAGTGTATAAAGAGAACTTAAAAAATCAATAAGAAAAAGATATCTCAATAGAAAAATCATCAAAACATGTATTCCCCAAAAGAAGGAAAATTGACTGGCCAATTATAGGTATGAAAATGAGGTCAACTTAAACAGTAAACAGAGCAATACAAATTTCAACCATGAGATATTTGTATTGTCTCAAATTGGCAAAAATAAGAATTCCGACAGTACCCTTGTTGGTATGAATCTGAAGCAGTGAGAACTAAAATCTGCTCTGTTGGAGTGTAAATTAGTTGTAACTACTTGGTAATACAATATATTATCTAGTGAAGTTGAGTATGTGTGTTCATGCGTTTGTATAACCCAGCAATTCCATTTCTAGCAGTGTACTCTAGAGAATCTTACACCCATGTGCCAGGATACAAATATAATAATATCCATACTATCATTGTTCATAATGGTAAAACACTAGAAACAATCTAGATATTTATATACAGTAGAATGATTAATTGCATATACATAATGTTGAGTAATAAAGCAGGAAAACACATCTAGCATTATTCTGTGTATTTACATTTTTAAAGCATATGAATTTAAATAGTAAATTATATAGGATTACATATACTTTTGTAGAAAAACTATAAAGAAAAAACAAGGAAATGATAAAATTAAAATTCAGGATAGCAGTTACTCCTGGAAATGTGAGAGAAAAATATGACTGAGGAGGCACATTGTATTAGTTAAGGTTTAGCTGCATTTGACAGAAATCCCAAATAGTGATGTAAGCAAGATGTAAGTTTATTTCTTTGTTTGAAACAGATTGAAAATATTCTAGGCATGACAACCATGCTTTACATGGTTATCTAGGAACCAGGCTCCTGCTGCCTTTTTGTTTAATCTTTTGAGCATTACCCTCACAAGATTATGGTGGCTCACCATCACAGGTGGAAGTATGGAGGGCTAAGTGACCTTCTTAAGGTCAGTTTCTAAATGTTGCACACATGACTTCTCCTCATGGTGTTCTGGCTAGAATTTAGTAATTTTTAGATGCAAGGAACTTGAGAAATGTGCCCAGCTGAAAATCAGGAGTTTTAGAACAGGAGAACACAGATATTGGGAGGAAAGTAGCAATCTCTGCCACAGACTCATGGGGCCGGGATAGCAAGAGAAGTCACCAAAGTATTGGTATTGTTCTGTTTCTTAAAGTAGGATGGTGAGTATAGGTACTTTTTAAACATTATTTTATACCTTCCTTATAAATTATATACTCTTTTGTATATATGAAGTGTTTCATTATTAAAGTTACATGTAATGGATACTTTTCAGGCTTTACTTTGCTTGAATCTTATGCAGCATATGGTATTGTTGATCACACCCTCTAGACATTTGAATTTTTATTGGCAAGAATCTCCAGATTTTTCTCTTATTTCTCCATCCATTCCTTTTCAGCCTCCTGGGCTTCACTTTCTCTGAAGGGGAAAAAAGGCCTTTTCCTAGATGCCCCTCACTTGTCTCCATAATTATTTAGGATAGTTTCAAATTGGCTAATGGGTTTCCTGGATTTGGAAAAATTGCAAGAGAAAACTAATTATATGGTAAATATTCAGATTTTATCAACTTTTATTCATAATGTTCTAGCCATACATGAAAAAAGAGAGGTTAGCACATTTTCTTTGTAATTTTATATAATTGTTCTTTATATCTTTTTGAACTACATCACAAAAGAATAAATAATTCTAGAGTGAGTCAAAAGTACCAGTGCATCTTGTAAAGGTAAGAAACAGCAACTGTTCCCATAGATATATACATATAACATCATTAGAATAAATCTTGGAAATAACTCACATCTTTATAATCATGTACCACATGTTATATCTTCTTATAAAAATCATCAATTTACTTGACTACCCGGCATAATGACTGCTTTTCCTAGCCTTCCTTGCAGCTGGGTATGACTAGCTGACATAAGTCTTGGCCAAGTGGAATATAAAAAGAAGTCATTACATGACAAATTTTAGCATATATTAACAGGGACTATTTTTTCCCCAATGAAATAGTCTCAGGCACACATGTATTTGAAAAGTTCTATTCACTTAAATTTGTTAAAAGCAAATGAGATAAAATTCATTTGGTCAGCATTCAAGTTTCAACCATATGTTAAGGACTGTGTCAGGTTCTGGGCATACAGGATTGAACAAATTATAGTCCAACCTTCAAGGAGCTCACGGTCCAGAGGAAATCTAGTTAAATGCTATGGCAGATGTGGCTATGCCCAAGGTGCTGTGGAAACACAGAAAATGCCAGTTAGCCAAGAAACTCAAACTCAAGAAAGTGATAAGCTTAATTTAAGTTTATAAAATAATTTAAAAAAAATAGAATCCAAAATTCTCAGTTATTATAAGCATTTTAAATATAATTTCCATTAAAAAGAATGAGTCCTGTTATTGTAGTAGGTGGAGGTAAGAATGACAGAAGGAACACAAATGAACTCCATTAACTTTTAAAATATTTTCTCTATTTTATAGATTTTTTACATTGGTTGTATACTAACCTTATAGCCAGAAAAAAATAATTTAAAAACCCAATATTTAAACAGAATATGTATTTTTTAAATGTAGCAACATAATTTTTTGATTTAGCAACATGGTTTTCATGAGATTTCTGGATTGAAATCTTTATCTTAAACTCAAATTCATGTAACATATTGCATATTTTATTTTATTTTATCATTTTTTATTTTATTATTTATTTATTTTTTTTGCGGTACGCGGGCCTCTGCCTGTTGTGGCCTCTCCTGTTGCGGAACACAGGCTCCGGATGCGCAGGCTCAGCGGCCATGGCTCACGGGCCTAGCCGCTCCGTGGCATGTGGGATCTTCCCGGACTGGGGCACAAACCCGTGTCCCCTGCATCGGCAGGCTTACTCTCAACCACTGTGCCACCAGGGAAGCCCCATATTGCATATTTTATACATATCTTTTTTAATATTTTAAATTCAATTTTACTTAATGTAAATATGTAATACATATATCTTCATAGTACTTCACTGTTATTGCAGTGTAGATATTGTCTCACATTATAATTTAAGGCAAACTCTAGTTTCACTCATTGGTTATAACAGATTAGAAGGAGGAAAACAATACAGTTGACCCTGGAACAAGGTGAGGGTTAGGGGCGTCAACCCCTACTCAGTAAAAAAATCTATGCATAACTTTTAACAGTCAGTTGGCCTTCCTCCCTATCTGTGGTTCAGCATCCAAGGATTCGGCCAACCACAGATCATGTAATACTATAGTACCTATTTAGTGAAAGAAACCCGCTTATAAGTGGACCTGCACAGTTCAAACCTCTGTTTAAGGGTCAACTGTATACACAGTTCTTAATCATAACATAGTACCTGCTCACTGTCATATTTTTAACTAATCTGGAGTGTAACCATTTTCTTGTGACCTAAAGTTGTTCAAACTCATTTCTCTTTTTTATGATTTCTTAAGATGGGAGAAAGACCCATTTTCACAGACTTTACTCTTCATTTTGAAGAACTGAAAAGGGACTAGTCAAATCTCATCACACTCATGGCCTTCTATATCTTTGCTTCTATTACTTAGTCTAGGTCATTGTAAAGCACTCTCCCCAAGGTGATTTAGTAATCCAGGACTTATTGCTGGTGTTATTCAGATATTGTACTATAACTGTTATATTCTCTCTGATTCACTTTTCAACAAAAATGAAGTCTTTATTTTTTTTTTTCCTTGCAGACTTTGCCTTCAAAAGAAACAAGGTTTTTAAATACTACACAAATGCCTTGCCTGCAATCATCTTCAATTTGGAGCAGCTGTGAACACAATTCAAAGTCTCAAATATTAACAGAACATGTATCAGAGTTAGATTCTTCTTTCCATTCCATTCTATCATTGCCATCAGGTAAGATTCCTTTTAAAAAATTTCTAAGTAACAATTTTTTATGGTGAAATCAAATCCTGTAAATATAAGGAATCTGATAAACTTTTATCAGTTGTCACTGGATATTAGAGCTAAACAGTTTTCATAGAGAAATTAATCTAGTCACATGCTGAATTAATGTTCTATCTTTAGGTTGATTTTTTTTTTTTTTTTTTTTTTTTTTTGCGGTACGCGGGCCTCTCACTGTCGCGGCCTCTCCCGTTGCGGAGCACGGGCTCCGGACGCACAGGCTCAGGGGCCATGGCTCATGGGCCCAGTCGCTCCGCGGAGTGTGGTATCTTCCTGGACCGGGGCACGAACCTGTGTCCCCTGCATCGGCAGGCGGACTCTCAACCACTGCACCACCAGGGAAGCCCTAGGTTGATTTTTTAATTCCTTGGAAACCATTTTGACTTACTTTGGGAAATTCTTAGCTTTTGATCTCCTTTTGATGTTAAATTTTTAGCATTTTATTGATAACATGGCTATGCTGTTGAAATGTTTCTCAGTAAGTCAGAGTTCTTTTTCTAATGTGTTTTGCATGGAGTTTTCCCTGCCATGTAGTATCCCTCCATCTATAACCAGCATTGAATTTCTCTGAGAGAAGAAAATTGTCCATCTTTAGACATAGTTAACTTTTGAACCTCAAAAATACCTGTAATATACAACTGAGCAGATGAGGCATTGTATCCCTATATCCCTAAGATGGCTTTAAGTTTCTTTCCAGTTCTTGTCTTCTGTTCGAATGTTTCCAATCTTACCTACATTGGAACTGAAGTAAATATTTAGGGTAAAAAAGGAAACATTTTTCACACTGGTTATCTCAGGTTCCTCTCTTTTTGGGAAGATATCTCAAATGGGCTTTTGTTTCCTTTTCAGCTTTTGGTTCTAATCATCCAGGGACTGCTCCTCTTTGTAAAGCACTATTTCTTGTACCTATTCCTGCCCTGAATCTTAGTTTGGTTTTTACCAGTATTACAGTGGTTTCTTAGCTACACACCATACTTTGAAGTAAGTTCCTGGTAGGAACTATTTTACTCCATCCTTGAGGAAACCTTAATAATAGAAAGAAAAAATAATATATATAACAATAACACAGCTAACATTTGGTCTTAGCATACACTGGGTCCTATAAGCACATTACATTTTCTTGTTTGATGCTTGCAGCAACCCCATGAGGATAGATATTATTGTCCTCTTTATCTTACATATAAGAACATTGAGGCTTAGAGATGTTAAATTACTCATCCACAGTACACAGCTAGTAAATGATGCAGACAGGATTTGATCTGAGGTGGTCATTCTCCAGAGCCACACTCCTAACCATACTCTTTACTGCCTTTCTGTTTTCTTATTAGTAAATTTGTTTCTCTGATAACAAAAATCTAAGAGCTGGCATAAATAATCTTTCATCCTACTGTGTCACATCTAATAAGTTAAGATTAGCTTCCTTACCTACTACTTAGGGTTATCCATTTCTTCTTGTGTTCATTTAATAAAAATCTGAATACCTGCTGTATACTAGGTACTAGTATAGTGGTAGGAGTATAAATACAAATAAATCCCTCAAGGTACTTGCATTCCAGTTTGACAACTGAAATATAAACTAATAAGTGTAATAAAGTGTTATGAAATTTTAATTAAAAGCCCACAGGTCACAGTGTGGGTTCTAAGGAAGGTATATGGGTAGACCAAGCGCCTTCCCTAGTTATGTCATGTTTTCCCACAACTCAAGAAGAACAGTGGTAGAATAGGTGATACTCCATATAAAAGTTAAGTGATATTTCTTTGGAAAAACTTATGTTTTGATAATTGGAAATATCAGACTCCTGAAATGTTTAAGTAGCATATTTAATTTACATTCTTATTTTCATTTTGTCATATAGTTTTCTTATGGTCATAGTATCGTGATAGCATTAAAATCCATCTTACATCTGACCCTTGGGAGAGTCTCCAAGTGATACTTATGAACCCATTTTTTTGTGTAGAAAAATTTTTCCACACTTGAGTATGGATCTGCCATTAAAATACATCTTTTGATGGAGAGATACTTGTTTAAAATTGAGACCCTTCCTGGGTCTTTCCTGATTTATGCATTCATAATTAGTTTTCTTAAAAATGAATACCTTCTTTCTGTAGCAAAACTTTGAATAAATCAACTGCTTTATAAAATAGTTCTTTATGTTTCTTAGGAAAAAGTTTAGGTGTCTGTTGAATGCTTTTTAAAATGATTGTTTTTGCATTCTTGACTGAAGAAAATATGCTTTCGTTAATAACTGTGAAGCACATCTATTTTATTTATTTAGCTCCTCTTTTGGTTGTGAGTATGGAATATAAACAGTGAATTGAACAACTCTCCTAAGTCTCTGTTTAAAAGAAGAGAACTAGTTTGTCAATATGTTTTGATCTTTGTAAAAGTAGATTTCATTTTGTGATTCATAATACTAGTAAACTAAGGGAATGTGAAACAGCATTTTCATAAAAGGTTGCATCTGAATTATAGTGGTTTTCCCTCAAGTAATTAAAATCATGTAATTATGTCTTTTGGAAACTTTATTTCAAATGCAGAGTTTGTAGGGGTGGAGTGGAATGGATTTAGAGTCAGGCAGGTTTGGCTGTATATTTTATTAAAGACCTTTGGGGAGCATTTGTTTCGTCTGCAAATAGTATTTAATATTTATATTTGTTCACCTTAGTTTATGAAATTGTTCATTGTTAGTGTTGTTTATTTTACATATAATCAGTAATTTCCAAAATACTGCTAACAACACGCTTGGAAAGAATAGTTTGCCACTTCTAATAGTTATGACTTTTCAAGCTTTGGCTTATTTTTCTAAGTCTTTTTTATAAGTCTTAATATTGGAGTCTGTAAAGAGTGATTTCACTGAAAATACTTTTTTTTGCTTTATTTTTCTAGATGTGCCTCTTCATTTTCACTTTGAAACATTGTTTAAAAAGACTGAAATAAAAGGAGATCTTTCTGAAAATAAATTTGTAGGAGACTGTATCATATCTCCATCACCTGGTATGTCATTTACAAATCTTGGTACTTTATATACCTTTTACATCTTTCATATACTTATTACTTTTGCTAAGGAAGTAAAATTTAACAAAGGAATGAATGTAAATCCTTAATTTTTAATATTCACTTTTCACAAATCACACACACACATACAAATAGAAAATACACAGGAGTAATCCTAACAGGATACTTATTGAATGAGAATTATGAAATATTATTGATAAATATAAAAGGAAATTTAAATAAACATGGGGATACAGCACTGCTGGATAGTAAGAATAATTAGGATATCAGTTCTGCCTTTTGGTTTATGTTTAATGCAACATTCCATATAACTTGAAGTTCTAAAAGAATTTGGTTAACATAAAATAATTGTAAAGCCCATTGGGAAGAATTAATGGGAAAATGTAAAAGGAATTGCTGGAAAAAATATTGAATCTAGCCCAACCACATATGAAAACATGACAAAAATCTATAATCATTAGCATAGATTCTATTTTGCTTACATTTAGGAAAGTAGATCCATGAAACAGACTACATAGCTTATTCTTTATTATATAAAGGAAGAACTGTAAATCAATAAGTGGAGAATGAACAGTAATGTTAGTCTTTTGGGGGGAAAGTTTGTTTATACACTCATTTCATATCATGTATCAGAATAAATTCTACTTGGTTCCAAGAATTTTAAATAAAACACTAAAATTACAAAATAAAACTTGAAAACTTATAATGAAACTCTGAATGGGGGGTGGAGAAATTGTCTATTCTAGGAATAAATCATAAAAAGAAAGAAAATACATAAGCATATTTTCACTATCTACAAAGCTAAAATCTCAACATCAAAATGTCACACAAGATAAATTATTTCCAGATGAAATCATCATCTCCCTCAAAAACTCAAGAATCAACTGAATGCCTGTTAGAATTAGAGTTCTGAAAGGTAGCAGATTTTTAAATAAACTTATAAAAATAAGTAGCCTTTATAAATACCAGTAATAACCTATTAGAATTTGTAAAAGAATAAATTATCCTAGACATATTGACAATGAAAATATAAAATATCTAGGATTAAACCTAACAAGGAATTACATGAAGAAAACTTCAAAAGTTTACAGAGGAACATGAGTATATGCTTATATGGAGAGAAATACCCTGTTCCTGTCAGAATATGGTAGCTTAAGATGTCATTTTTTCCAAATTAACTTATAATGTAAGTCTTTTTTCTAAATTTTATTTATTTATTTTTATACAGCAGGTTCTTATTACTTATCTATTTTATACATATTAGTGTATAAATGTCAATCCCAATCTCCCAGTCATCACACCACACCACCCCCCAACTTTCCCCCCTTGGTGTCCATACATTTGTTCTCTACATCTGTGTCTCTATCTCTGCCTTGCAAACTGGTTCATCTGTACCATTTTTCTAGATTCCACATATATGCGTTAATATACGATATTTATTTTTCTCTTTCTGACTTACTTCCCTCTGTATGACAGTCTCTAGGTCCATCCACGTCTCTACAAATGACCCAATTTCGTTCCTTTTTATGGCTGAGTAATACTCCATTGTATATATGTACAACATCTTCTTTATCCATTCGTCTGTCGATGGGCATTTAGGTTGCTTCCATGACCTGGCTATTGTAAATAGTGCTGCAGTGAACATTGGGGTGCATGTGTCTTTTTGAATTATGGTTTTCTCAGGGTATATGCCCAGTACTTAAAATGTAATTTTTTTGACATCTTTATTGGAGTATTATTGCTTTACATTATCGTATTAGTTGCTGCTGTTTAACAAACTGAATCAGCTATATGTATACATATATCCCCATATCTCCTCCCTCTTGCATCTCCCTCCCACCCTCCCTATCCCACCCCTCCTGGTGGTCACAATGCACTGAGCTGATCTCCCTGCGCTATGTGGCTGCTTCCCACTAGCTATCTGTTTTACATTTGGTAGTGTATATATATATCAGTGCCACTCTCTCACTTTGTCTCAGCTTACCCTTCCCCCTCCCCGTGTCCTCAAGTCCATTCTCTACATCTGCATCTTTATCCCTTTCCTGCCCCTAGGTTCTTCAGAACCCTTTTTTTTAGATTCCATATATATGTGTTAGCATATGGTATTTGTTTTTCTCTTTCTGACTTACTTCTCTGTATGACAGTCTCTAGGTCCATCCACCTCACTACAAATAACTCAATTTCGTTTCTTTTTATGGCTGAGTGATATTCCATTGCGTATATGTGCCATGTCTTCTTCATCCATTCATCTATTGATGGACACTTAGGTTGCTTCCATGTCCTGGCTATTGTAAATAGTGCTGCAATGAACATTGTGGTACATGTCTCTTTGAATTATGGTTTTCTCAGAATATATGCCCGGTAGTGGGATTGCTGGGTCATATGGTAGTTCTTTTTTTTAGTTTTTTAAGGAACCTCCATACTGTTCTCCATAGTGGCTGTATCAATTTACATTCCCACCAACAGTGCAAGAGGGTTCCCTTTTCTCCACATCCTCTCCAGCATTTATGTTTTGTTTGTAGATTTTTTGATGATGGCCATTCTGACCCGTGTGAGGTGATACCTCATTGTAGTTTTGATTTGCATTTCTTTAATGATTAGTGATGTTGAGCATCCTGTCATGTGTTTGTTGGCAATCTGTATATCTTCTTTGGAGAACTTATAATGTAATTCTAATCAGAATCCCAGAATCTTTCTTCTTTTGGAGCAAAGTTATTCTGAAGTTTATCTCAGAATGAAAATGTTGAATAGCCAATAAAATTTTTAAAAGATCAATAAGGAGGTGTCAGATATCGAAATATAAAGATATAATCATTAAAACATTGTGATGCCCATGGAAGCCAAGGAAACTAAATAAAAAAAGCCTAGAGACAAACCCAAGGATTCATTATACGATAAGAGTGATATTTCCTATTAGTGTGGAAAAGATAGCCTAGCCAATAAATAACAATAAACAATTCTTATGAAGCATTCCTTATATGCCAGTACAGTACTAGTTGAAAGGCTTTGTATGTGTAAATTGTTTTAATCTGTACAACCCTGTAAGGTAGATATGATTATTTTCTCCTTGACTAGCTTTTCCCAAATCGCAGTTGAGTAGTAGTAGAGGCAGGATTCAAATCCAGTCTCTCTCAGAGTTAATGCTTTAAACAACTTTGTCCTGTAATCAGTGGCATTAAATAATGACTTTTGGGAAAAATAAAATGAGATCTGTACCTCATACAGCACATTAAAACAAATTTAAGATGGATGAACATAAATACATTCCAGATAGATTAAAGAGGTAAATGTTAAAAATGGTATCTTAAAAGAATTAGGAGAAAACCTAGGTGTAGTAAATGATAGTAATGAAAATGCTAACAATCGCTAACATGTACTTGAGCACTTATGTGACAGTCACTGTGCTAAATGTTTCTCCTTTTTCCAATTACATTAATATTGGACATTTTAATCATCAGTTCTGGCAAGACTGTGTAGTAAAAACAGGACCCTAAAATATTTCAGGTGCAGTTAACTGATACAGGCCTTTTGGGAAGTACTGTGAAATGCATTACAAGGCCTTTAAACTACGTATTTTTTTATAAGCTCATTGAGGGAAAAAAAAAAAACTTGTGTACTTGTTCACAATAAATGTTTGCTACACTGTTAACTCTGTACTCTGATCCAACAGATCCATTTCCAAGAACCTAGTCTAATTCTAAATATGAAACCACCTTTATTCACAAATATATTTATCTTAACATTATTTGTGGTAATGAAAAATTAAAGACAACTTGAAGAGAACAGTAGGAATGTGGTTAACTGTCTATCACAGTGGAATATACAGCCTTTTAAAGGATCATAAAAGTTCATCTAAGAATGGAAACATTTATCAAAGAATGCTGTGATATTAAAGGACAAATGTTTTACTTCTATGGATGGTACAATTATAACCAGGTAAAAATGTTTATACTTGTATCAGCCAAATGCAATGTACGGGCCTCTTGGGGATCCTGATTTGAACAACTCGGCTGTGCACACACACACACGTACACACACACACACACAATTTTTGAGACAGAGAAATTTGAACATGGACTGGCTGTTGCATATTAATTATTGTGTTAGATGTAATAATGCATGTGGTTACATAAATACACATTTTATCTGTTAGTTTATTAGAGATTCAAGCTGACACATAATGTAGATAAGATATGATGTCTGGGATGTGCTTTAAAATACTATAGCAAAAAAAAAAAAAGCTTGTGGGAGAGAGAAAACAAGATTGGTCACCAGCATTCGTGATGCTGAATGATAGGTACAGGGGAGTTCATTATTCCATTTTCCATTTGTGTTTCTTGAAATTTTTCCACAGTCAAAAGTTAGAGAAAGAAAAAAAAGCACTAAGGCAAGAAAAAATTGCCTATGCTTAGGAAAAAACACTAAAGAAATACAGGAAAATATAGGTTATGTTTACTTTTCATGATTTAATTCTACTTGGAAGTTATCCTGAGACTAAAATTTTTTTATTTAAAAAATGTGTGCATGAAGATGATTATTTTAAGAATGTCCATAATACAAATAATATCATGATGATAACAAGTAGCTCCAACAGCTAGGGAATAGCTGTTAAATAATACTGTCTCTAATCAGGAATATTAGGTGACCATCTGAAAACATAGCAATGATGAGTGAGTTACCAGATTAAAAAAAAGTTATACATATATCCAAATAAAATCATTACATTTGAAATATTAATATGAAATATATGTATATGACTGAAAGGGAATATGCAAAAACAAAGGTAATTATATTTCTTCTAATGTTGCTCTATTATTTATCTGACTTAAAAAAATGGGGCAGTGTACAGGAGTTCCCTGGTGGGCTAGTGGTTATGATTCCAGTCTTTTACTGCCGTGGCCTGGGTTCAATCCCTGGTCAGGGAACTGAGGTCCCACAAGCTGCGCAACCAAAAAAAAAAGGGCAGTGTAAATGTTAGG